GGCTCATAAATTGGAACTCTTAGTAAATCTCGCCAATGTTTTGTGCAGGAGATAATGTGCCAAACCACACAGCAGTTATCCTATTTAATAGACATGTGCTTGGTTTGTTTCAAGGGCCAGCTGGTCAGGGCAGCAGGGGGTAGCTGCCATATAGGCTAGTGTGATTGTAATGACTTGGCCACTATTCAAGGAAAGTACCTTATCCAATGCCGAAAGGAGTAGATCCAATGACTGCACAGTACGTCTCAGGGACACTTGGGCATCATGAAGTCCCTAATTTTGGAAACTCTTACCCAAAACATAATATATTTATCTCTAAATAGGTTCTGAAGTCTCCTGGTGTCTTGTTTCTTCATGCGAGTCCTAATAAGTACTTTAGATGGCGTTACTAAGTAGCAGTTTGCCATTATGTAACTCTGAGGATACAGCCACTGAGTTATAAAGTTTCACTGGATAACCTATAACTCTTCGCAGTTCGTCATTGGTTAATATTATCTTTATACAACATACATCAATGTAATATATAACCCCTTCACTACTGGGTTCTTTTCATTACAAGAAATTTAACATTTATCTGAAACCTAGAACATACAGCAAGCTCATATCACTGGGAAAAAAACAACTTTTTTTAGGATCAATACAAATTTTATATTTCAAAATGTACAGAATTTTTTTCTTTTTTAATTCATGCTGTGTAGAATTTTTGGGAGTAAAATGTAGCTGAGATTTTATTATATCTATTGATTTGAAATATCCCACACAATTTATAAAATATTGGCGTAAAGCAGAACACCTTTTTTTTATTATTTACAGGAGAATTTACGAAATGTGTATTCCTAACACTATAGTCCTGGAGTGGTTGTTTAGGTGGCCAGCCCCACTCTCTGTGCAGTGAGAAGGTATTAAGCTTTCCTTTTCTCCCTCACTGTTCAGTGCACCGGCTGGCTGCAGACCCTGGATATGCTGAACATAGGTGCTGCACACTGTGCAGCACTGACCCCAGAAGCACCTCTAGTGGCCATGTGAGTAACTGCCATTAGAGGTGTTCCTCTGCAGCAATGTTAACACTGCCTTTTCCCAGAAAAGGTAGCATTTTCATTGCTGAGCCTGCAGAGACTGGTTATAGAAACCAGAACCACTACATTAAGCTGTGATGGTTCTGGTGACTCTAGTGTCCCTTTTAAACGTAATTATGGGTATTTCCAAATAATCTGCATTCTTTTAGCAATGAGAAAGCAAATCACACACTTGTGGGCATAATTCCTGCTTGTAAATATAAATTCGTAGCTAAAATCAGGCATTTTGAATTTCAAAAGCACATAAGTATATTCGTGTGAGCTCAGAGTCCTTTTTCATTTCCTCTGTTCCCATAAACTATTCAGGAGTCATGCAAACATGAATCTGTGCAGATGCCTTTACAATGCAATAGGGATAACTTAATTTACAGATCTAATGCGTAAGGCGTAGAGACTGACTGGAGAAATTTGTTTCTTAACTGGTTGAGGTCCAGCACTGGAGCAGAGAGGACAATTAGTGTTTATCACGACATAGCTTGTTTTGCCTTTTGTTGCAATACAAAAATATTGTTTTTGAAAATAAACTGATTAATAATTACAATAACAAAATGCAATGCCTATGTTTCTACTTTGGATCTCAGTGTATGCTGAGAAATTAGGAAATTAGAAAGTATTTAATGTATTTAACTTGCATTGGTTGATCAAAGATACATTTGTATTGCGTGGTTTGTTTGTTTTTTTCGTTTTTTTTTGTTTTTTTTTAAACCTGTATTTTTTTTTAGAAGGAGTGTACTGTACAGTATATTTAGTCTTATAACTGGACTCAGTGCATAGTGCTATATAAGATTATATAATCTTTTTTAAATACACAAACACTGGTTCAAATAGTCTTAGGCTATTTTTATATTGAATAAATATAGGAAGCAATTCTTATCACATCAATTCAGTTGAAGAGTTATTTTTCAGCTCGTCCTTTAAGGCCTAACTTTTATAGCATGTTTAATATTATTTTATTATTATTTTATTATTTGTATAGCGCAAGCAAACTCCAGAGCGCTGTACAATGGGCTCAGCTCGCTGTTTAGCGAATAAACCTCCCTGATTGTATAATAATGAAAAATATTATTTTTATGCATTCTGAACTTTAAGAGAGAATTATAATCTTCCCCCAACACAAATACCTGGTCCGATAGTAGACTGAAATATCTCTGAATGCATTCACATAGAAGGGAATCTGACACACATCCATGAAATTACTCAGCCACATACAGTTATTATTGCTTAATGACTCTTCCAAAATGAGAATAAATTTGTCAAGTTCCAGACATGAAGAGGGAGAGTACGTGTGATAGATTTCCTGAACAGCTTCAACACCCACAGGTATTATTTGTAAGAAAACACTCACGCAGAGACATCGGCTTGTTAGAGACAGTACAACGCTCTCTTGTCACCTGCTATGCTATCTGTCCTGTCAACATACTGCGCTCTGGCCTGCATACATCCTATTCCTCCTACAACACTGCTCCGTCAGGGGCTTCTGTGAATGGACAAGCAAATCAGTGTGTTTTGTTATTTCCCTTTTAGAATTCTGGTGGGATTGTAGCCTGATTACTAAAAAAACCCATACAATAGCCTTTAGGACTGATGGAATTTATATGTTATTTTTGAATCCCTCCCCCCCAATTTAATTTGAACTTTCAAAAAGTGCACATCGTGAATTAAGGGATACTGCGGGTCTATTCCAGGGGTACGCAACCTTCGTCACTGAAGATGTTGTGGACCACATCAACCATAAAGCTGGCAAAGCATCAAGGGAGACGTAGTCCACATTATGTGGAGTGCCGAAGGTTGCCTACCCCTGGTCTATTTGCAAAACTGGGAATTTTCGAAAAAACAACCTAAGATCGCTGCAGATTTATTCACTAAGAATGAAATTCTGGTGAATTGAATGATGAACAGCATAATTTTGTCAGCAATAGTCTTGTTATAATGAGCATTTTTAATTTCTGCACTTTTTTTTGCCTAACTTTTGCAGTTTAATGTTAAATACAGTTAGGTGATTAATGACAAGTCATTCATGTTAATTCACCATCATGGTTGATTTAGTGAATAGACTCACTTATTTTTTTTACAATTTGAAACAATAGGATTTCACATGCTGTATGATGTACATAAAGGGGAGTGTTGCCTTTATTATCATTATTATTATTATTACCATTTTACAAACTTCTGTGGTTTTGTTTACTATGTACTCACCTTATTTTTTTAATGCAAAGACCACAAATCTCGATTACTTTTAAATTAAAAAGACAAAAACAATGATAATATTGCATTATTTTAGAATGATAATAACAATAATATGAGTATCTGATGTTAAAAATACTAAATGTTGTTTGTTCATATAAAAGCAATGCAATTTCCATGTAAGTAATACATTTAGGGCCTATCTAGTAATGCTAATCAGCATAAAGAAGTTATATGCTTCCAGGAAAACAGATTGAAAATGGAACCCTATTTGGGCCAACTAGCTAGGGAACCTTTTTTATTTAAATGTTGTGCTATGTGCCTGCCTTAGTAAGGCACTGTAGATCAGTAGTGTCAGGAGGCTGGGTATCCACTTAGGAAAGTAGTTTTAGAAGGCAGTCTGGTACATCTAGTGTGGGCCATGGGCTTGGGGACAAATCCACCCATTCCATATGAAGGAGATGCACAAACTTTTGATCCATTACATTGACCAATTCATGAGGAGATATGAGAAAGCCCAGAACATCCCTATGTTAATGGATGGTCGACAAAGGCTAGGCAACCATCCGCGGATGTTGTGTATAGTACTTAACCTGATGCTTTTCCACCATTATGGGTGTAAGAATATTATGGGACATGCAGTCCACAACATCTGGAGTGCCAAAGGTTTCCTACCCCCTGGTCTAAGGAAACTCCATACATTTTATCATACATTGTGGCAATTTTTTTTTTTTTTTTAACTGTTTGATTATTGAATATTTGATGATTTGCCATTTTGAATTTGATAGATTAGTAGCTGGTGCTATTTGGTGAATTGTTTAAGTCGCAATTGAATTGAGTGGCCATAAGTGTTTATCCTTTAGCGAATTTTAATCCCCAAATCAACAAGGGCCTCAATTTAATGTTTTTGGCTAAACTTTCCAAATTCTTTAATGTTTTTGGATTAACTTTTTAAGTGATTTATTTCAACATATTAAAATATATAAAAACATCCTTTATAAAAAATACATCTCAATATATTAAAAAAAAATCAGAATATTACTAAATTCAAATATTTTTGATTATATTACATAATTATTTTTTTTTCAAAAATATGAAATCATTTGGAAAGCTTATCTAACAAAATCAAAGTCTAAGTTGGTTGCAAAGACCGATACTCTGCAAAGATTCTTTACGTGAGAACTGGACTGTTTGCCAAATGTTGACGGAGCAACGTACGTTACCTCTCAGTTCACTAATCATCATCTGCTACAATCGTGCCCATATGTCGTACGTGCATGTTAATGTCTGTATGTTTGTTTATACAAATATCATATACATTATTATTTCTTTGAATTTGCTGTAAATGTCACTGAACAATTAGCATGGCATACAGACGTCTTATTATCTGTCTTGTCAAGTCAAATAAGAATCAAACCAGTGGTTCAATGTCCCATATTAAAAATTATAGTTTTGGATTATTTGTTACAGATACCTAGGCGTTAAGATGCACCTGTTCCTTAAAACTGAACCTGTTTTAATTAACTATTAATCAATTAAACAAGAAAGAAAAAAAAAATGTTTTGTTCAGTAGCTTTTAAGCATTTTTTTCAAATAAGCAAGTGATATTTTACTTGATGGCCATAAAAAAAATCAAAAAAAATCACAGTCTATTGTTTGGAGTCCTGCACCGGTTTTGATGAAAATAATAATTTGTCAAAAACACTTCAAATAAATAGGAAATAAGATGTTAAGCGAGCAGTGGCAATAGAGTCAGATGAGTATTATAGCTGTTATCTTACAAAGATATGTTTTCTTTCCCAGGGTGTGGGGAAGGGGTCAACATTTACTGCCAATCGTGAGAGTTTATATGAATTTTTAATGCTATAACATAGAGAATATCTGTCACATTCCTTAATACGTGCAGTGACAGCTGAAGAAATGGCTGCCTTCAGTATCATCTAGAGGTCCAAGGTTGTCCATCACTGCTATAGCATCTTGCATTTTTTATACACCTAATGAAGTACGGCTTTTAAAACACTTTTAATTATGTATTTCTCTAAACTTTATGTTGAGTTCTTTTAATTTCCATAGCTGATTGCACTTTAATTACCAATTAATTGCCGATAGTTCTTTGGTGTCAAGAACGCCTTTCACTCCATAGAGTTGTCAGTATTGCCATTCAACACTCCGCCTCCCACAAGGATCCCTACTGTCCTTCTTCCTGTCTGAAATGCCTCCTACCTAAGTTCTTTAGAAAGTGCTTGATGGCTGCTCTACTCTGCTACATTTATTATTTTACATGATAAAAGTCCAAGTGGATTGGAATGAAATGTAAATTTTATAGGGGAAGTAGCTTCAGGTTACTGTATTTCGACTGTACGTTGAATAGCCATCTTCTGTTTAAGGTGCGTATGTAACTAAGTAAAAAAAAAAGATAAATAAATAAAAGCCTGATTTTTCCATTGCCGATCTGTCATGCTGACTTAATGCAATGCTGACTTCACAATGCATGTCCAGTCGCAGGGGGAATGCGTGTGTACAGTATGCACATTTATGGGGCAGACCAATTATATGATGCATACTTGCTAACAGCATTAAGGTGCGCAATTTGAGTCACTAGATTAGTTCATAAGCTGCATGGGTGGTGTCATCGTCGCACACATTAATGTCTGGTTAACATGCTACCCAGCAGGGTGTCCAATCAAGTTACTGCCTAGAAGTGCCACAAGCACATTTTAGTGTCCCTCTGAAATTGGGATGCTTGTAAAGAACTATAACCCCATCAGCTATGAAAGAATCCTAAAAAAATAGAAGGGCTGTCTGTGTGTGTTGGGAGTGAGTGGGGACTTTCTGTATGCGAAATATGTTGTGATTTCTCATTGTAATGAGAAACAGTGACCATCACACTGAAAGTTGTCCATGTAGAAAAGGACCGAGTGGTCTTTACTGGAGGATGTGTGATGGAAGTGGAAACGCTGGGAGTTGTGAGCTGTCTCTCCATCACTGCTTCCTTTTATAGTAGAAGTACCGAATTCCTGTTGAATTGGTTTTTTAACAGTAAGTGGACTTGATTTTGTGCTTTTTATGTTTATTTCGGGCACTGCTGTTAGTGGAATTTTATTAAGAATGTACTGTAAAGTTGTAGAGGGTGTTAGCCACTAATGTCTCTGTCTTTCCTCTTCCAATGCCCCAGAATCACCCTTTCCGAATAATGTCCAATTTGGTTTGGGTTTCCCCTGAGTTTGGTAAACCAAGTCAGCCAACCCGTATTAGTTCTGCGACTGTCACTGCTGCTGTGCAAGGAATGTCACTTACCTGTAATCATGGGCCCTAACAATTGTGAATGTAAATCTTGGGTTTTGGCCATCCACCATATTGATTCTTTGGGAAAACATTTTATTTCACTCCTCAGATCTGATGTTTCCTTATTTCCTATTTGTGAAAAGAAAAATATATTTAATCCTGCAAATTAAAGGGATTTTACTTGTTATTTATTTATGGTTGATTTATTTTTACATATCTAAGTAATTTTAGGTTATATCTGGAAGGTACAGCCGGGGCATTTGATGCACATAAAATCGAAATTCCCTTGGTGATCTTTCATCTAGAAAAGTTGCATTTAATGACACTTCAAAAACTGATATAACATTATAAAAAGATTCGATACAAAATCAATGCAACAGTTCTCTGCACAGACGGCTTAACATTCAAATACCTTCATTTAATGTATCATTATTATTATTATACCCTTTAATTGTTATTTTATATATATATATTTATCATTTAGTCAGAGTTACCAAAAATATAGAGAATTACCAACTTCAAGCCAGTTTGCAATACTGTATTTTATGTTATCTTTTCAGAATCTGTGCTTGTTGCAGTGACCCGTGCCTTTTCCCAAGGCCAGTTTAAGGTATATTGTTACTGGAAATGACATTAAATTGGACCTTAGTCATCTGCTTCTTGTCACTTCCTATTATTTTCTACTTGCACATCAATCCTGGGGGGAAATCAAAGTCCATGTGGCTCCCTTTTCTAATCTGCATAATGCTCTGTGATAGCTGGCTGCGGTTTACTTTCTTAGAAGTGAAAAAACAAATAATAATCTTCAATAATCTGTAATCTAATATTTTAACCATTTCAAGACCTGCACAAAATAAGTACCAATACACGATTCAGCACAGGATCTATATGTACCATATTTATTTATTTATTTAAAACTAGCTTAGATTTTATATAAACACGTGTCTCTTTGTGACAGATATAGAGCATAAAACATAATGCTTAGCTTTCGGTTTAAACATGTTTTTAAATCTGTGACATTGTGTGTGTTTTTATTGGTTGATTTGTTGTAGCTCGATTGTGATTATGTGTCCCTTAGTAAATTGCCCAAAAGGGCTATTGTCTGTTTCAATAACATTATCAAGGCATTTGCCTATATGCTCACTGGTCCCAGCACTTTATTGGGAACTGCCAATGATTTCCTATAGAATCCGTACCAACCTTCTGACTGTGTTTTCTCATACCTCTATCTGATTGTTTGATTTTGAAGGCAGTTGACATGTCAACCTGTCTCTTCAAGGGTAACTAATTGTCAATTCCAGGGATTTTTGATATTTGTACATTTTACTTATCCTTGTATTTAACAGATATGTGATTGTGAGGTGTGAAACATCAAATTAAACATAGAAATCTACGTCTCTTTATCCTTCAATCGGGTGACTACATCTTGGCTTCCTGTTAGCCATTGTCTTCAGCTGTGTCTATAAGCAAGCATTGAGGACGCATACAAGGATGAGGAGAATTGGAACACTGTTTCTATATCCCTTTTCATTTACTTTGTTTTTCATGGATTTGCCTTGAAGTTAGGGTGCCAGGATTGCCGTGGAGCACCCCCATTATAATTAGTCAAACTGTTTTACTTCTTACTTGGCGTGGAGGGATGTGACATAGTGAGTCTGTGGCGTTTAGATTGTGTGTGTGGAGGCTGTTTTTTTTTTGTTTTTTTTATCTGAACCCTCACTACTGCTTACTTTTATCAAGTGAGGGGAGCTCTCATCTTCATGCCCTGTTGGTCCAGTGGTTTCCCTGGCAGTCAGGCTGTGTGCAAACCCCTCTGAATTTTTCCTCAGGTCTCTGACCAGGAGGGAGTATCTGCAGAGAGCTGATCCAAGCCATACTTTTGTAGACAATCAATGGTGCGTAGCTTTTGATTTCAATTAAGTTGTTATGGTGCCTGGAATTTCCCTTTAATAACAGCCGCAGAATACAAAAGTATATATTTGTAGAAAGTAGACCCATATTGGTATTCAACTATCAGTATTTTGACAGGCTTCATTAACCATTTCGTCACCAACCCAACAAAAACTGCTGGGTATATTTCTATGCATTTTCCTAAGCGTGTCATTTTCAGACTGTGTAAATCTCACTACTGTAGACCCCTGATTTGTATTCTACTATTGCCGCCGACTATTGTAATACCCCACATGTACACTAATCAGCACAACATTAAAACCACCTGCCTAATATAGTGTTGATCCTCCTTTAGTCTGCCTAAACAGCTCTGATGCATCAAGGCATGGGCTCCACAAGAACTCTGAATGTGTCCCATGGTATCTGGCACCAAGACATTAGCAGCAGATGATTTAAGTCCTGCAAATTAAGCACATCCAATTTAGCAACAAACTAGGAACAAATTCCTTCTTGACTCCAGAATGCGAGTCCGTTCACACCCAATGTGAAACACCCTGATCTATACTTCTACTTACTTCTTCGTAGAATGTAATTAGGTTACTTTGACATGACCTATGTTTCATTAAACCATGCTGATTATTGCTAATAACAGTGTTCTTCACAATGAATTCCTGAATACCATGCATTAATAACCCTTCAAATACTTTCCCAGCCACAGAAATTAGGCTCACAGGTCTATACTTTCATTTTTGAATATAGGAACCACATCTGCCTTCCTCCAATCCTTCGTACAATTTTTTAAAGGAAAAAATCTTGAAAGATTAAATACATATCTTTACTTATTTCCACATTTAGCTCCTTAAGTACTCGTGGGTGAATACCGTCAGGCCCTGTAGCTTTATTTACTTTAACTTTCTTTAGCTGTTGTAGCACATTGTCTTGAGACATCCAATCGCAATTTTTCTGCAATTGTTTTGCAACAATCATATGCATATCTCTTGCCATAGGATCCTACTTAATATATCCTGAGGAAAAATCTGTCAGTGGTTATAATGTTGTGGCTGATCGACAAATACCTTTGCCCGGCTTGGTGGCAATTTATAGGGTCACATTAAAGACATGCCCTAAATTTGACATGCCTCTTTACTAGTTTCCCAGATATGCTATTTGACAAAATCTGTGTCACCATACTGACCAGCTTCACACTTAGTCTGGAAGCCAATCAGGGACTGTGTCTGGCCTACATCACAGTGAGGTGGTCCAACAGTACCCAATCGACAGCTGGCCCTATGATGCACTGCGGCACATAGGAGTGCTGCAATAGGCTGTCATGGTGATCCTATGGTAATGGCAGCCTCTTGAGGGTGTTACAGGAAAACTTCATGAGTGAGACTGTCCAGTAACCCCATGAATATGCTTTGGTCACTAAGATTGCGGCATGTACCACTTGTAATATTGGGCCAGCAGGTGCCTGAGGATGATAGCCGTGGCATTGCAGGGACAGCTACCTCCATACAGCTAATTCTGTAATGTCTCACTAGTGATGCCTGTAGAAATAGCCATATCGCTGCGATCACAGTGATCTTGGTTATATTAGAGTGATTTATCGCCATTAGAGAGGTGATTTGTTTTCTCCCACACTAGATTATATAAAAACATGGGATGCAAGGCAGACATTGTAGCTGTGCACTTATGAGTATGGCAAACAGAAGGGTTGTGTATGTGGCAAACTCACACAGTTCCAACTATACATTTGCTAGGGATTTGTCCTGCTCC